ATAAAGACACCACAGTCTCCGCTGTCCCTCATTCCAAGGAAACTGGACTCTGGAACCCCTGGAAGCTCACAGACCTTGGAGTTTGGGGTGGCAACACAAAGAAGAGAAGAAGAAGATGTGTTTTGTAGCCACTACTTCCCAATGGCCATCAATGCTCATTTTAAGCAAACCTTTTGTAATTGTCAGTACCCATTAAAGAAATATCTTCAGCTATTGAGCTAAACAGGAGCCTGGAAGAACTGCACTCATTTTGTTTCTGTATGACCATAAGAATGATGTTATGGCTACTGCCTGACCATTCCTTTGTTAGGCTGATTGCCAGTTAAAAGTGCAGAATAGGCTGCTAATGTTTCCTCAGTGGCAGCTAATGGCCAGGAAATGGAGTCTTGGGGAACTGTGCTTTCAAATGAGATACTCCTCAGAGCTTGGAGGAGGTGACAGCTCCCAGGTGTAGCTCCCAGGGAAAGGGAAAGGTCAGCTCTGTCTGTGGGGGGGGGGGGAGGAAGTGATAGGAAGATTTTAGCTGGAGTTAGCAGAAATCGGAGATGTAGGCTGAGTGAGAAGCATGCAGCCAAATAAGAAATATACATAAATTGGGGAGGGGGTTGGGGAATAATATCCCCATAGCATCATTAGGTAAAGACCCCCTTTCTGAAATCCTGAAATCCTGGGGACAGTACTGAGACAACACTGAGCTGGATGGAACAATGGTCTAACACAGAATAAGGCAGGGGCAAAACTAGGCTTTATTTCACCCTGGTCAAAGACCCACTTTGGCACCCCTCCACGTGCTTTTGGGTGCACACACACAGGCTGAGGGCCTCAGTGGCACCCCTCTGGAGACTTCCCCTGGGGCAAAAAAACTCAGCTAGCACCCCATAGATATGGCACTGAATAAAGGAACTTCATTTGCTCTTTGGGCAGGGGGCGAAATCTGTAACCAGAGTCAATAGGAAAAAGAGTGCACATTCCATGTGATAGAAAGGGCCACACATCCTTGGGAGAGCAGATGTTTGGCGTGCAAAAGTTTCAGGTTCCCTCCCTGGCATCTCCAGGTAAGGCATGGGAAGATCCTGGCTGGAAGTCCTGGAGAGAGCGGCTGCAGGTCAGCATAAGCACGACTGAGCGAAGCAGAGCAATGTCCCAACTCAGCCGGGCGCAGCTTCCTAGGTTCCTAATTGCCGTCTTTGGTCAGGCCAAAGATCCATTTCATCCAGAATCCTTTTTCAATAGTAGCCAACCAGATGTCTTTGGAAACCTCACCTGCATGGCACACACGTAATGCCCATTCACTCTGGTTGTGCACCACACCAGGGGTGCTTTCAGATTGCTCCTATTTTTGGGGTGGGATTCAGTCGTATACTACCAAATTCAATTTGCAGAATTACGGTGATATAAAAATTGGGGCTTTTGCTTTTGCTGCACAACTCCTCATGGGACTCTGAGTCCCCTAAGTCCATGATCAGTCAAAGAAGAATGGATGGTGGCAAAATCCAGTGGAAAGCAAGGCAGACATTTATTTTTCTGTTGCAACAGAGTTTCCTCCCCTCCTTCCAAGGAGGGAGAGACCCTGGACAAAAGTGTGCAGGAAGCTTTAAAGACTTTTGACTTTGCCCAACCCCCTTAGCCAAAGACCACCCCAAAATCATCATACATACATCATAGGAACAGGGATGCGGGTGGTGCTGTGGGTAAAACCTCAGTGCCTAGGACTTGCTGATCGCAAGGTCGGCAGTTCGAATCCCTGCGGCGGGGTGAGCTCCCGTCGTTCGGTCCCAGCTCCTGCCCACCTAGCAGTTCGAAAGCACCCCTAAGTGCAAGTAGATAAATAAGTGCAAGTAGATAAATAGGTACCGCTTTATAGCGGGAAGGTACGGTAAACGGCGTTTCCGTGTGCTGTGCTGGTGCTGGCTCACCAGATGCCACTTAGTCACGCTGGCCACGTGACCCGGAAGTGTCTTCGGACGGCGCCGGCTCCCGGCCTCTTGAGCGAGATGAGCACGCAACCCTAGAGTCGGACATGACTGACCCGTAAGGGCAGGGGTACCTTTACCTTTACATCATAGGAGGCGGTCTACAGTAGAAATCCTGTCTGCCCAGATACCTGATAATAGTCGCTGATTGCATTGCCTGGGCAGCCTGGGCATTCTTTTGTGATGGTTAATATTTTAGTTCCTGAGTCAAGCTCACAGGCTCACCCTATTCATACACAAATATGCCCTTAAGACAGGATTTGTAAGCAAAAGAGCAATGGGAAGGCTTTCACCATTTGCCTGCCTTAATGCAGAGGAATATTTGAGGTCACTGGGAGAGTCAAAATGGCTTCAGGATTGCTCTCCTATACTATTTCAGACACATGGTTTAGATATTTAGATATGTGTGCATTTATGAATATTTATTATATATTTGAGACTTTAAAATTCTTATAACAGCAGCTGACCAGAGGGTCGTGTACAACAAACCTGCTTTACCTCCCCCACAAAAAACTGCAGGTTGTTTGCAATAAGGAATCAAATCAGAACAAAATATCAGTACATAGCCAACATTGTCTAACCCCCCTGCAGACTATGTGAAAATCACTTAGGATGAATCCTCAATAAACAGGTCATCTGAAAGTGACCCTGGTTACTGGCTCTGGAAGGTGGTGCTTCCATTTAGCTCTCAGTTTATAGTTGTTGATAGAATTATCCCCCATCCGTTTGTCTGCTTTCTCCCAAAATAACTCCTCTCTTCCACCTGTGAAATGAGACAGAAGGTATTTTTTGTGCATTTGTGCATGGCAGGGGGGTGTCAAACACTCTTCCCAAAAGACATCTCTGTCTGAGGGGGCCGGGCTGACCTGCCATGCCCCAAATGAAGGCACAGGCGAAGTAACAGAGGAGAGACAAAAGGAGACTTTGTACTGACTGTGCCACAGGCCCAACTTCTGACACAAGAAGGACCTTATCTTTCTCTGTCTGAGTTAAGACAAGGGCTTTAGAAGTCTGACTCATTAATAACTCCCCCACACATACACACACAAAGAGCCTTTTTATCAGACAAGCTGCCTTTTGTGTTGTGCTTCCCAGCTCAATAAATAACAAAGATAAAACATGGATTCTAGGATGGAGCAATACATTTGCAGCCCACTTCTGTCAGAAAATGTGCCTCCAAGGAAGGGTATTTCTTTCTTTCCAAGGACTCAGCTAGATTGGGAAATAAAAAGTGTTTTGCATGTGTTGGATATGCATTATAACCCTGTGACACCAGATGGTGCTCTGGAGTTCTGTTTTTGCCAACAGGATTTCTCAGACAAAGTTTAGAATGCGTTTTCCTGAAACGCTTCTTTGATGTGTCTAGATCCAGCCCAAATGCCTGATGAGAAGGGGCATCTGACCTGACCCCCCAAATAACCCAAGCAGCTGCTCAGGAGTGTAAATAGTTATAGCTACTCTTGCTAAATGTGAAGGAGATAATTGCAAAGAAGTTGCATGTTCAGACCCAGAGACCTCCCCCCTAAAGACACACTTGACTTACAGTTTGGTTTTTGGCAGAATTTAGGCCACAACTTTATTGATTACAGAAGGTGAGTGGTTGCATAGGCTCTGGTTCGACTAGCTCCCTGCACCCTTGCAGGCAGCACTGACCCAAGGCACCAGCATAGGTCAGCCAAGGGTGAACACCTGGGTAGACGAAAAGCCGGGAACAGACTATGTTCACCACCCAGATGCCCCCCTGGACTCAGGCATGGGCACAACCCCCTCTCGGGGATTGCTCAAACTAGTTGAGTACCTGGATTCCTTTAACGGAATACCCTTCACATAGGGATGGTGAGACCATTCTCCCATCCCTATCACCTGAACTAGTGCCTATCCGCAACCTTACAAGTTGTGATGATTTGCTACGCTGCAGGCAAAACCCAAATGGCAACAGCCAATAAGCCAAGTGGGGAAATTCCTACCGTGCCCCTATCCCAACAACAGATGACACACGATGGCACAGCAAGGTCAATTGCAAAATGCCCTAAAAATAGGGAGAGGTGGGCGAGTGTTTCGAATGCACGAGCCGAAAGAGAAAGCTCTGGGTCACGTGCCTGGGTATATATAGGTCCCTTGATCCGTTTAGACTGCACCCCATTGGCCAGATTGAACCCAACAATGAGGGACCTACCAATCGGGTGTTGGGCAACACGTCCTCTTTTAGGGAGGACACGATCTAACACCAGAATCTTGCCAGAGAATCCGTTGCATCACTAGAAATTACTGTAGTACAATATGCAGCACTGGGTGTGAGGTTTGGGGCAGTGTGTCTGGTTAGTTTCAAAGTGATGAGCCAAGAACACCTCCAAGTTTAGCTCGGCCATCTCCGTTGGCAAGTGGATGCAAGTTGTAGGCAGCCTTTGTGCGAAATACTGGAAGACACAAGATCTACCTACCAGGGAAGAATGGCAGATGAAGTTGATGGACTATATGGAACTGGCGGAAATGACTGGCAGAATTCGAGACCAGGGAGAAGAGTCGGTGGAAGAAGATTGGAAAAAATTTAAAGTATACTTACAGAAACATTGTAAAATTAATGAGTGTTAGAAGGATGTGGGAATGAACTAATATGGTTTTAGTAGAAATGCAACAAAGAATTAAGTAAAAGTTTATTGACATTGGGTTAAATTGAAAAAATTTAAGGTTAGATCGTTAAAACTATAGACTCAAAATTGAGAAAGATGGGAAGAACTTGCTGAAATAGTGAATTGAACTAGAATACAAAAAAAGGGAGGTGTGAGGAGGTCGATGAAATAAGTTAAGGAAAGGTAAAGATATGGAATATTGGATGTGTTTTTTAATTTCTTTTTTGTCTTTTTTTTGCTGTACTATTGTATGGTTTTTATATGTTTTATGTGTTTTGTTATTGTTTTTTTTCTATTTTATTGTTTTTTTTTTTTCTTCTGTAATTCTTAAACTTTTAATAAATATCATTAAAAAAAAAACAACAAGTTGTAGGCAGCCTTTGGTTTAATCCAAAGAGCTGTAGCTCAGTGGTAGAGAATCTGCTTTGCCTGCAGAAGGTTCCCAGGATCAATCTTTGGCATCTCCAGGCAGGACTGGGAATACGTGTTGTCTATGAAAAGTATGGTGTGCCCCAGCAGTCACTTTCTCCCGTGAAATGCCCTGCTGCAGGCACAGGACTATTTGTAGCTCAACTCTGAAGAAATGTTCTATGTGGTGGCGGCAGTCTTGGATACGAGGATCAGAAGGCTCATTGGAAGGAACGCAGTGTTTGCATTTCACAAATGTGCAGCTGTGAATTTGAGTTCACACCTCTTCGTTGTGCTCACGGCTTTGGCACAAACTGGTTTGAATCCTTTTAAATCATTACTTGCCTGGGGTAAACAAGGCAAGACTGTATCCAGCCTGGATAGCTCAGCTGGCTGGCGTTGGGCTGATAACGCCAAGGTTGCAGGTTGCATCCCCATATCTCTGTATGCATAGTCCTGCATTGCAGGGGGCTGGACTAGATCAGGGGCCAGGAAACTTTTTCAGCAGGGGGCCGGTCCACTGTCCCTCAGACCTTTGGGGGGGGACAGACTATTTTTTTTGGGGGGGGGGAATGAACGAATTCCTATGCCCCACAAATAACCCAGAGATGCATTTTAAATAAAAGGACACATTCTACTCATGTAAAAACACGCTGATTCCCAGACTGTCTGTGGGCCGGATTGAGAAGGTAATTGGGTTGGATCTGGCCCCCGAGCCTTAGGTTGCCTATGCATGGACTAGATGATCCTCAGGGTCCCTCCTAACTCTACGATTCTATGATTCTATGATTCAATTCTGTGCTTTAAAAATGCAAATTATGCACAAAGGAAAACCAAAGTCTATGGTGAGTAAATTAGAGTGAGCTCATGAGAATAGGGTGATCTGAGAGAGGGCTACAACCCAGTGGTAACTAGGGAGGCAAGGAAGTTTCGTTTTCTGTTCTGCCCTGTATTCATATTCATTGTACACAGCACTATGTCTGTTCCACTGCAGTTCATCTTCTGCCAAAAACTATCTTCTTGTACCTCCTATGCAGAGCGCTGGTGCTAAAAGTAAATAATAACTATTGGTGCCACCAGAAAGTCAGGATTTTCTAATGTTTTATTGAAGCACTTCCTTACTCTGCAATTAAACAAAGCAGGAAAGAAAATGTATCTTATCTCTGAAAGTACAGAAACTTCATTTTTAAGTGCAAAAGTGAGTCGAGGAATTTTGGAACGGGGTTTTGACGACACACGAGAGCCTTTTTTGTTGTAGCCCCCCATCTAAGGAATGCTCTCCCCAGGGAGGCCCACCTAACATTACACAAATATGTTTTTCTTTGGGGGGGGGCATTTGGACAGCCGCATGATGGGATGTTTGTCTTCTTTTGGTGTTCATCTTCAGTTGCATGGGTTGGTTATGATGGGAAGGAATGCTTTTATGATACAATAATTTGAATATGTTGTTAGCATGTGTCAGGGGTTCAGGGAGAGAGGCACAGGGTAGGCAGGAGATGGAGAGCGATGGGGAGGAATTCCAAGCCAGCGAGGAAGAGGATGACAATGACTCAAGAGATTCCATGAGTCTTTCCAGCGAATCAGAGGATTCCCAGAAGGGGCGCCGGTGGTCAAGGCCAGGGAGCCCCAGGGGGGAAGTGTCAGGAGCAGGGTGCCAGCGGAGGATCCCAAAGTGGCAGCTGGGCGTCAGGACCAGCCTCCCCACCAGAGTGCAGCGAAGGGGGTGGAGTTTCCAGTGTGTCAGAGGAAGCAGCTCCAGCAGCAGAGAAAGGAGGGGGTCAGAGCAAGCCGCCCTCCCGGAAGGGAGGGAGCAGTGAAGGGAGTAGTGTAACTGTCAAAAGGAAAGTTAGAGGTTTGGCGCGCGCGCCTAGTTCAAATGTAGAGGCGCGCGGAAGTGCAGGGAGCCCGGAGGAGGGGCCAGGTCCCAAAGCCCGCAGGAGGGGGAAGAGCAGTCTGATTCCGCGTCAGAGGAATCCAGGAGGGGCGAAACCCCAGTGGGCAGAAGGACCCTGCGGAAAAGGAAGGAGAGAAAGAGGTGGAGCAGCGCAAGTCTCTTAAATTGGTGCAGGGGGGAACTGACTCAGAGGGGACTTCGGCGGTCTAGCGTAAGAGACGTAAGGCTGCGCGCCTAGGATGTCAAGCAAACCATGAACTGCAATAAACACTTTTGTATATAAGAAGACAGAGGCGTTGGTCTTTTGTGAGCTAAGATTTGAGGCAGCCTTGACAGCATGCTTATACTGTAGTTTTAATTATTGTATTTGTACTTCAGTTGTAAATCACTTTGGGGCATTTTGTAGTACGAAGCTATATATAAAACTAATAACCTAACCACTAGCCAATTCCATCCCCACCCAAACTTGCTAAAGGGAAGTTGGTGGTCATGAGGGCACGTCCAAAGCAGATGCCCTAACTGTGCTAAAGTAGTGTGACATGGGCAGTGACTCTTATTACATAACAAATAAGGTGGTGTATATTTAGCCACAGTTAAGGATTCCCCTAGGCACGCTCTGAAGTCAAGTAGGTACAGTGAAAACAAACTCCTTGATCCACTTAAAAGATCTCAGGTAGTTAAGTGATAGATGGAGATGAAAAGTAACATCAATTACTAGTGTTTAATTTATGCCCATATTTTCTATGAATTGTTTTATGTCTAACAAAGGCAGTGACAATATAATACCCAACGAACAACCTTAAAAACTATACAACAGAATAATTAGGCAAAAATACTTTCAAGAGCAGCTGACCATTGGAAATTAAAAGTTTGTTTCAGTAGTTGAGCTTTCAAAATGCATTTTAACAGCAGAATGGGAGGGATCCTGATGAATCTCCACAGCGGCCTGTTTCACCTGGCATGGTAAGCCAAAACAATGACTCAACGGGTTCACACAAATGTGTGATCTCCCAAAGAGGAGCTCAGAGATGCTTTGCTCCTCTCTGGTTCTTTTTATTCCTGCTTCACACTAATCTAAGACAACACTTGGCTTAGTATGTCATCGGAACCCAGGCTTATAGTTAAACTCTCTTCTCAGTAACCGCAAGCTATAACCAGTAACAAGCCTTGGCAGGGAGCAGAGAGGAGCAAAATGGCTGCAAGCTCTTTTCTGGGAGCCTGCAGAATTTGCAGGGTCCTGGTAAGCCACTGTTTAGTTTACTGTGTTGTGTGAACTTACACTCTCCTGCAGTTGGGATCTCATGACTGCAGGCTCATCCCAGCTTTATTTTGTGCCCTAAAAAGGTTTTTGGCCCCACACGTTCCCTGAAAAACCCACCCTTTACTGCCGAATCAGAGCAAATGGCAATCTGCCTGACCTACCATTTGTTCTGATTCAGCATCAAAGAGTAGGTTTTCCTGGAGAAAGCACCAGGGCAAAAAAAAAAAAAAAAAGCACTTGGACATGGAGTTTTAAAGTGCAGACCTGTGCTTAGGAAATGCAAGGCAAAAGATAATTGTGGATGAGCCCTGCATTGCCAAGGGCTCTTCCACAAAACCTCTTGCCTTTCTCACCTTCTCCTGATCTCCTTATCACCTTATTCACACTTCTGCTTGTGCAGTCCCTAAAAAGCACAGATCTGAGAGTTTCCCCCATTATTTAGTGCTAGATTGGAGCAAATGGCCATCTGAGGAAAACCCAAACTGCTGTTTCCTCAGATTGAGCACTAAAGAGCAGTTTTCTCTGGTGGGGAAGCAGCAGGACAATAGGAAGTGGCTAAGCCCTCAGCCTCAAGGGAATGAACTTGTTGCTTCCGACAGCCAGGAGCAAATTGCATGGAGCACGTAACACACCTTCTGTCCATCTGGTGAACAGGGACACACATGACACCGTGTGGAATACACTGATCCAATTTCATTCAACCACAGAATGTGGAATGCACTGGAGAGTCCTTGTACCCCTGCTGATTTTGTTTACCTTCAGAACTGTTTTGGGGGTGCTGATAAGTTTGTTGCTCTTGTTCACTTGGATAGTTGGGGTGTGTTAACATCAAAAAATGGGAGAAGGCCCTGGCTTCCTCTGCACACTGCTCCAACAGGTGCCTAATTTTATGCTCCCCTGTTTGTACCACTCATTCTGCCAGGCTGATAAGCATGCAGACAGTCTGATCTGCACAAAAATGCCCACAATGGATAGGAAATTGGGGGGGGGGGGAGGCACAACACAATGGGAGAAGGAAAATATATCAGGAAAGAAACACATCAACGAAGAGGGAAGGCTGAACCTGCTGTCTCAATTGGTAACCCTCTTGGTATAACCACTTCAGTATTTCAAATCAGTGTGACATTTTCAGAACCCTAGGCAGCAATATCTAGCTCTGGAGTCCTGCCACTGATATGAATGGTCCTTGAGGAGTGGGGTGGTGTGTGGGTGTGTGGAGAGAAAGAAAACAGACTAATGAAGAACTTCTTCCTTTTCTCCCCTTTCAAAAAAGCACAGTAGGCAGTGTGTATAATCGGAGAAGATTTACTAGACTCCGCTGTGACTGAGGCGCAGCGTAATTAGAATACGGAAAGGACCATTTATCATTCGCCAGAATGAGTTAGATATTTTCCCACTACTCAAAAGAACCTAACACAGAGGGGAAGGGGATGAGAGAGAATAAACAGAAATCCCAGGCTTTGCAATGGCCCGGAAAACATTAACTTCAGGCAGAAAATTATTTGAAAAAACAAACCAAAAACAAGCTCCAGTGACAAAGTCAGTCTGCCTCTTCAGGAAAAGCTGTGCAGATCTCCCATCAATTTAGTTAACCCAGGGAAGTGCCCACACCCCATTTGAATGACATATTTCCTATAAGAAGCTCCAGGTGACACAATTCTCTGCTTCCTCCATTTTATCCTCACATCAACCCTGAGAAGACGGTTAGACTGGCCCAAGGCCCCCCCAGTGAGTTTCAGAACAGAGTGGAGATTTGAATCCTGGTTTCTGAGGTCGCACCCCATTGTTGCTGTTGGGCAGCTTTCAATATATATTCATATATAGTCAACATATATATATTCCAATATTAAACATTAAATAACCCCTCTACAGGGATGCCTTCAGATGTCTTCTAAAGGAGGTATCTCCTTGTCTCAGGGGTTGTATAACACCATATCCTCCAACATTTCTCCGACGAACATAGGGATGTCCTAAGCGAAAGCGGGACATTCCAGGATCAAATCAGAAACCGGGACGACTTCTGTAAATCCAGGACTGTCCCTGGAAAATAGGGACATTTGGAGGGTGTGCATCCTGTAGGTTCTTGAGAAACCTTGTTGTTGGATGCATTCCCTCTCAACCAGCTTCCACCTGATTTGAAAACATAAGCCACGTTCACTTCCCATTTAAGCTGAGGTGTGTACATTTGAGACAGCCGTTGCGTATGGTCAGATGAGAGTATATGCTCACATGAGAGCTTCATGAATAGAAGTGGGGAGGGGTGCAGAAAAACCAACAGGAAATGAGCATTGTGTGAAAACATCACTGCCCCTTCTCTGATGCATATACAGTGGTACCTCGTTTTGAGTCTGGGATCCGTTCCGGAGCCCCGGACACTCGACGAAAGGGACACTGTGCATGTGCGTGAGCGGTTTTGCACTTCTGCACATGCGTGAAGCGCAATTTAGTGCTTCTGCGCTTGTGCGAGCAGCAAATCCGGGGTAACCCGTTCCGGTATTTGCAGGTTTGCAGCAGACGTTCCATGAAATGGATGCTAAACGGGATGGATTCACAACGAGGTACTACTGTAAGCAACTGGTGCACCCATTGTCCAAGTTTGTGGGCAGCTAAATGTGACCTGTTTCTCAGCAAGCCTTTAGGCCAGTGGTTTTCAACCAGTGTCTGGTGGCACCCTAGAGTGCCGTGAATGATGGTCAGGGGTGCTGTGGGCAACGCTGGCCTCTGTCCCTCTTTCCTTTCCTCCCTCGCATCTCTGCCTCCCCAAGGCTTGCACAGCTGCTTGTTGCAGCAGCCCTGGCTACAAGCTCCCCAGGCGAATGGGCCTCTGGGGCTGGCCAAGGGGTGCTGATTGCCAGGAGCTGAGGTAGCCTTGGAGTAAGCAAGCAAGTGGATGAGGGAGCCCAGCCAGCCAGTAGTTTGCATGTTTTCAATGGAGTGTGATGGAAGCACTGCACTGGGTGTTGAAATTTTGTGACCCTAACAATTTTGCGGGACGTGGGTGGCGCTGTGGGTTAAACCACAGAGCCTAGGACTTGCCAATCAGAAGGTCGGTGGTTCGAATCCCCTCAACAGGGTGAGCTCCCGTTGCTCAGTCCCTGCTCCTGCCAACCTAGCAGTTCGAAAGCACTTCAAAGTGCAAGTAGATAAATAGGTACCATTCTGGCGGGAAGGTAAACGGTGTTTCTGTGCATTGCTCTGGTTTGCCAGAAGCGGCTTAGTCATGCTGGCCACATGACCTGGAAGCTGTACGCCGGCTCCCTCGGCCAATAAAGCGAGATGAGCGCCGCAACCTCAAAGTCGGCCACGACTGGACCTAATGGCCCTTTACCTTACCAATTTTGCATCCAGGGCAACCACCCCTTGTGCCCCCCTCCTGCCGCTATGCCACTGGCTTAGCCTGTGAAGAGGAGACTGAGAGGAGATATGATTGCCTTCTTCGAATACCTAAATGGCTGTCAGATTGAAGATAGAAGATGAAGCAAACTTGTTTTCTCTTGCTCCAGAGTGTAGGACCCTCACCAATGGATTCAAGTTGCAAGAAAGGTGATTTCCAACCAGGAAGAACTTTTGAGCAGTAAGAGCTGTTTGACAGTGGAACATACTCCCTGAGGAGGTTGTGGACTCTCCTTCCTTGGAGGTTTTTATTTCTTATCAATAAAAAAATTGATGTGGCGTCAGCAAATTTTCATTCTGAAAGTGTAATCCAGTGTAAACCCAAAAAAGTTTGCGCGCCACTGTAATGTAAATAAATAGGCCTGATCTTTACAGCCCTGAGACTGTAGCACTTTAGAAACCTACACAACAGTTTTGCCTAGAGAAGGGAATGGGATGAAAGACAGCAGGTATTGTGTACACCGCCTGGCTCTTGCATTCCCCCACCAGCCCTCTTAAACATTATCCCCTACCTCCACCTAATGTTTGCTCTTCCCAGTGCAGGAATACTAGCAATCCTTCTTCAAGAGCTGGAATGAGGCTATCCCTGTTGGCAATTTTTTGCCCAACTTTGCAAGTCTGGTGGCAAATGTTTGGTATAATGGTATCAAGGCTTCTTTTATCTGAGTGCTGCAGCAGATTGAGTCCTTTCTTCTACCTCCTTGACACGCACAGAGAGAAGAAGAGCCCACTTCTGGATGAGCAGTCGCTAGACTCCAACCAAATGTTATCAGTCACCTGCCGGCTGTGTCCCAATGAACAAAGGCACTCTGTTAACCCCCTTCGCCCCCTTCTCTCTGGAAGCCAGGCCAGTCTGCAGCTGGAGGGATGAACTCACTTCTTTGAAAAAGTGCCATGCGCCCCCTGATCCACGTTTGTACTTCTAAGTCATCTCTTGATGGCGTAGCTATCGAGTGAGAAAGGGGGAAGCTTGAACCAGTTCTTAGATGAAAGCAGCCCACTGAGAACCGCAGGGGAATTATGATATGGGAGTGTTAGGCCCCCCTTTAAAAAAACTTATTTAAAACCTCACTTACAGGGTAACTGGGCACTCTACAAATCACAGTGCCAGCATGACCCCCATCCATTTGCTTTGTTAATATGCTCAGACACACTTGACTTAGGTGTGCGCACATTGCACATTATAGAAATTTAATAAATAAACACTGTGATGGGACTGGTGGTTTTGTTTGTTACTATTTAAGATATTTTGTGTTTTTATATTGTAACCCAGCCTTTGATAAAGGGCGGTATAGAAATTTAATAAATAAAATAAATACCACTCACGCCACCTCTAACACACTCCCACCATTGATGTTGGAAGCTGAGCACATATGACGTTAGTCACCATCCATAGGTATCCTGTCGCTTCTTGAGAAATACTCCTGTTGGATTTATCTGTTTGGGTTTATCTACACCGACCTTTGGCCCCTCTCTTTCCCTCTTTCTTCCCTCCAAGCCCCACTGGGATCACACTTCTAATAGCACCTCCAACTGACTTTTTGGGGGGGGGGGCCTTGCAGGGCTGCAGTGATGGTCTACATAAGCAACTGGATTCCTCTGCCAAGGCATCCAGAGGAGCCTGCATGCCTCACCTGGCGGCCCTGAGCAGCGGAGGAGCAGCTCAGGGAGCACACACGTGGCCAGGTGGGTTCCTAGTCAGAGTGGAGAGGTGTGATTTTTGTGCCCCACCCCTGGCCCTGCACCCTTGGCCTGCCCCTGGGAATGTGTCCTTGAACTATGACAATACTTCTTCTTTGCTTTATTGGAGGTTGGAGAGATAAGGTGCATATGTGCATGTGTAGAAAAGTTTGTGACTTGCATAGGTGGAATGTGGCCTGTTGTACAGCAGTAAGGCAAGTCAAATCTCTTGCACAATCCACTTTTGTCTCTGCCCCCCCCCCCCACCAGTGGCAGGCAGCCGCAGAAGGTTGCTGATGAGAAGAAGCAGCCCTCAAGCTGTGGAAGTTTCCTCACTCCTGATACGTTGATGGCACTGCGCCAATGCTGTCACTTCCAGACAGTCTGTTTACTGAGCACTGAGGTTGTTCAGAATTGTTTGCATGGAGGTTGTCAGACGTCATGTCAAGGATTCATTACTCCCTTCCCTTTCTGGGACATTTTGCCACCATTACTTTCATACCTGCAAGAAGTCTGGGTGGGGTGGGGTGGTTGCACAACCTTTAATTGTGCAATTTGTCAGCAGGCCGCAAAATACAAGTAGTCTGGAAGCCTATAAAATAAATAGCACATCATCTATCACTTGGCTCTGGCTCCACAGTCTCCTTGCCTTCTGCCCTATCCATCCCAATGGACACCAGGCACCACTGAGGTACCCTGTACATTCATAGAATCATAGAATTGTAGTTGGAAGGCACCTTAAGCGTCATCTAGTCCAACCCCTGCAATGAAGGAATGTCAACTAGATCATACACGACAGATGGCCATTCAACCTCTGCTTAAAAACCACCAAAGAAGGAGAGTCCACCGCCTCTTGTGGGCATCTGTTCCACTGTCAAATAGCTATTTTGTCAGACAGCAGCATGGGTAGGCAACCTAAGGCCTGGGGGCTGGATGCAGCCCAATCGCCTTCTAAATCCAGCCTGCAGATGGTCCAGGAATCAGCGTATTTTTACATGCGTAGAATGTGTCCTTTTATTTAAAATGCATCTCTGGGTTATTTGTGGGGCATCGGAATTCATTCATTTGCCCCCCCCCCAAAATATAGTCTGGCCCCCCACAAGGTCTGAGGGATAGTGGACCAGTCCCCTGCTGAAAAAGCTTGCTGACCCCTGGACAACAGCATGAAGATGATTTCAAAACTGAGCCCACTTGTGTGGGGCGTAGGGTTAAGCATGCAACCCCCACATCTAAGTGGCCACTTTACCAGCCAAGGTGTGAAATCTAGTTAGAACATTAGCACTGCCTTGCCTAACAATAAAAAAATACAACTGGGGAAATTGTGTTGAACTTGCAAGGGGAAGAAAAGAAGAAAGCCTCACACACTGCTGGGAATCAACACCTTTCTGGTATAACTGTGATGCCACCCCAGAATGGGCCAATTCCAGAGGCCCGCTTTAGCTACACAGGTTAGGAAGTCAGTCTAGAAAGTTTGGAGGTTTCATTTCATTTCACTTTTAATTTGCATGCTGTCTTATTATATACAAAAGGTGGTTTACAAGCTGAAGAAACAACAAAATATACAAAGTCACATGTCTTATAACAATCTGATCCAATGGAAATAACAGAATCATAGAATTGTAGACTTGGAAAGGTCATCTAGTCCAAGCCTCTGCAATGCAGGAATCCTGCCCACAGCTGTCCCTGGGTGGACTTGAACCACCAGCCTTCTGGTTAACAGTCAGGCGTGCTCACCCATTGCACCACTAATAAGTCGTAATAATAAATACGACTTAAAATAAACAGCTTATATCAAATAAAATCATACTCAACGATCCATTGGAATATAATGGTACACAATAAAATCAACTCTCAAAATATCAACACATAATAATTAAACAAAAATTCACTCTCAACAATTACAACAAATCATTACCAAATTATTTGCAATAAAAATAACAGCAAAATTAGAACACATAAAAAACCAGGTGAAAAGATTGATTTGTGCAACAAGGTCGCATCACTTATAAAGTTATTAAAAGAATTTTGTTTTTTCTTTCTTCCCAGTCACTCTGCTGTTAAAGGTGGAGGCTCTTCTGCCCTTCTTCACACTTCCCAACCGAGGGAGCCGGCCGGACACTGAGGCAGCAAAGCTGTTAAAGTGAGATGGCTGTGGCTTTTCTCCTCTCAGTGCCTCCCCCAGCTCCTTTCTCCTCCTCATGCAAACCCCATCAACCTTAACACAAATGCGTGCTGCATCCCAGAACTTCCAACACCCCAGACCTATAGCCAAGCAAGAGAGGGAGATCTGTGGCCCTGGAAGATATTTCTGGACCACAGCCTTGACCATCCTTGACTGTTGGCCATTCTGTCTGGGGCCGGTGGGACCTGGGAGTGCAACAACGTCCAGAGGGGTATGGGTTGCCCCTGCCCTGCCTTAAGGAACAGCAGGCGCCCCTTGGTTGCAGTTCCAGCCTGAAGAATGCCTTCAGACCTCCTCTTAAGACATTATTATTATTATTCCCCACACCCTTGCAGCCAAGCCGGCACTTCAGAGAGAAGAGCTTGCCTTTGTGTGGGGACTCTGCCTCGGAAAGCAACCACTTCCTGCTTCTGATCTTCTCTCTTAGCCAGGGCCGGCCCACCCAGGAGGCAAGTGAGGCATATAAAAACTGTTCTGAAAATGCTTTAAAAAAAATACAGTGGTGCCTCAGGTTACAAACACTTTGGGTTACAGAATCCGCTAACCTGGAAGTAGTACCTCAGGTTAAGAACTTCACCTCAGGATGAGAATAGAAATCGTGCAGCAGCAGCGGAAAGCCCCATTAGCTAAAGTTGTGCTTCAGGTTAAGAACAGTTTCAGGTTAAGAACGGACCTCCGGAACGAATTAAGTTCGTAACCAGAGGTACCACCGTACACTTAATTTTCCATAGGGCTCACCATTGCCATCTAGTGTCACATTGTATATTGCACTTAAAACACACTTAAAATGTTTTATTTGCAACTGTGTAGCTGAGTCCCGAAGAATTGATGCTTTTGAATTCTGGTGCTGGAGGAGACTCTTGAGAGTCCCATGGACTGCAAGAAGATCAAACCTATCCATTCTTAAGGAAATCAGCCCTGAGTGCTCACTGGAAGGACAGATCCAGAAGCTGAGGCTCCAAGACTTTGGCCACCTCAGGAGAAGAGAAGACTCCCTGGAAAAGACCCTGATGCTGGGAAAGATGGAGGGCACAAGGAGAAGGGGACGACAGGACAGATCCTGAAGCTGAGGCTCCAATACTTTGGCCATCTCATGAGAAGAGAAGTCTCCCTGGAAAAGACCCTGATGTTGGGAAAGATGGAGGACGCAAGGAGAAGGGGACGACAGAGGATGAGATGGTTGGACAGTGTTCTCGAAGCTACCAACATGAGTTTGACCAAACTGCGGGAGGCAGTGGAAGACAGGAGGGCCTGGTGTGCTCTGGTCCAGGGGGTCACGGAGAGGCGGACACGACTAAACGACTAAACAACAACAAGCTGAGTCCCATCAGGCGGCCGGCTCTGGCGAGTTATGAGGGGGCAGCAGATCTGTGCCACCCACTGTGTGCCGCTGCCACTTACTGATGGAAAAGTCATCTGCCTCTCTTGTTGCCGTGTCTCCCTCTTCCCTGAGAGAGGGAGATGCAGCTGCTGTGAACCAAACCCGCTCTGAAGGAGGTTGGCTCACAGCTGCTGTGTTTCTTCACTTCCCCTTTATTTCCCATGCTGATCTTCACTCCCCACTGCCCTTTCCAATATCTTTCAAGGAAAAATCAACGTTGCAAAAATGGGGGGACGGGACGTGAAGATCAGCATTGTGATGAAGAGGGGAGTGAGGATTAGCACCAGAATTTGGGGGGGCGGTGATGAGGAGCCTCGGCTGTACATAAAAAGCACCCTTATTAAACTACAATTGGGGAGGGGCGCCACAATGTCTGTGCCTGGCTGCCTGGGATCCGTGGGTCTGCAGGTCACCAGCTTGCAGGGAGGGGAGTTAAACTTGTTTGCCTCATGGGCAGCTTTATGTGTGTATACACTGGGGGGGGGGGCAGGAGTTGGCCATGAGGCAAACCTGTCTGAACCAGTGTACATTTTTGTTTGTTTGTTTGTTTTTGTTTTATTTTGTTTTATTTTTTTGTTGGAAGTCAACCAGCGTGACTGGGGAACCCAGTCAGATGGGAGTGGTAGAAGAAATTACTATTATTAGAAGAAGCATATTATTTTTATTTTGCTCTTCACTGGCAGCAATTCCATTACAAAAGTTGAGAGATTGCAGCCCATGTTCCCTGAGTCCTTATCATACAGGGATATGATTAAAAACTATTTTCTCTTAGTTAGGGGGTGTGGGATAGCAGTTGGGGAACAACATACAAAGAATTCCATCAGCACCACTTTCTTTTTCTTTTTTTAAAAGAAGTGCAATAAATGTGAAAGTGAGGTTGCTGGAGAAGTGGGAGGAAGGTGGTCTCTGAATCCTTTAGACCGTGAAATTATCACACACACACAGAAGGGCCGACTGAATTCTTCGACCTCCGTTCTCTAATGGAATCATTAAGAACAACGCAAAGCCATTCCGCTAAATTGTCTCCAATTTCTGACGCTCCCTGGAGAACTTAATCAGGTCCTCCATGCTGAGAGTTATGATTAAGTCTGCGTATGTTGCCTCACACTTTGCACTAAACTAACAGCCGAGGTTAGAAGTGGATACAGAACAACTGATTGGTTCAAAATTGGGAAAGGAGTACGACAAGGCTGTATATTGTCTCCCTGTTTATTTAACTTATATGCAGAACTCATCATGCGAAAGGCTGGGCTGGATGAATCCCAGGCCAGAATTAAGATTGCCGGAAGAATTATCAACAACCTCAGATATGCAGACGACACAACTTTGATGGCAGAAAGTGAGGAGGAATTAAAGAACCTCTTAATGAGGGTGAAAGAGGAGAGCGCAAAATATGGTCTGAAGCTCAACATCAAAAAACTAAGATCACGGTCACTGGTTCCATCACCTCCTGGCAAATAGAAGGGGAAGAAATGGAGGCAGTGAGAGATTTTACTTTCTTGGGCTCCATGATCACTGCAGATGGTGACAGCAGTCATGAAATTAAAAGACGCCTGCTCCTTGGGAGAAAGGCGATGGCAAACCTAGACAGCATCTTAAAAAGAAGAGACATCACCTTGCCGAAAAAGGTCTGTATAGTTAAAGCTAAGGTTTTCCCAGTAGTGATGTATGGAAGTGAGAGCTGGATCATAAAGAAGGCTGATCGCCAAAGAATTGATGCTTTTGAATTCTAGTGCTGGAGGAGACTCTTGAGAGTCCCATGGACTGCAAGAAGATCATACCTCTCCATTCTGAAGGAAATCAGCCCTGAGTGCTCACTGGAAGGACAGATCGTGAAGCTGAGGCTCCAAGACTTTGGCCACCTCATGAGAAGAGAAGAATCCCTGGAAAAGACCCTGACGTTGGGAAAGATGGAGGGCACAAGGAGAAGGGGACGACAGAGGATGAGATGGTGGGACAGTGTTCTCGAAGTGGCCAACATGAGTTTGACCAAAGTGTGGGAGGCAGTGGAAGACAGGAGTGCCTGGCGTGCTCTGGTCCAGGGGGTCACGAAGAGTCGGACACGACTAAACGACTAAACAACAACAACAACAGCCAAGGTTATTTTTTGTGAGGAAGGGGAGGGTTTCTTTGCCCAGAAATTAGATCTGTGGAGGGGCCACTTAGAGGAGCTGAAGGCGGAATTTGGGCTCCACCTTTCAAAAGACACACCATCTCAAAATGGCGGCTAATAAGCCCCTCACTCTTCATCCCTGAGGCTGCTTCAGAGGCAAGCTACACATGTAGCTAGACACCAGGGATCAGATCACCCAGTCTTTTGATTATTTACTTTTAAACAGTCTTGGGGGCGCAGACTAATTTACTAGCATTTTTAGGGCTACTTCCCAGATCTAAATTGTCCCCCTCACCCCCACCATCTCAAATCTTGCTTTTAGCTCTGCTGGGGAAAATATGCACATTTTTTCTACAATAGTGGTAACAACTATGGGGAGGATATTATTTAGAACAGGAACTCAGTATAGGTGGGTAAGTGTCTCTCCGACCCATAAAAATGCTATAGCTGCATTCAAATTCGGAGTACCTCATGACAGCTTTAATATACAGATGCAGCTAGATGCACAGAGCCACTGTGAAGGGGGACTGTGTACTCCCAGTGTGTGTGTGTGAGAGAGAGAGAGAGGGGGCAGCAACCACACACTTTGGCCACAGGAGTACCAACTTGAATAAAATATATGGGGGGGGGGCAGATAAGTCTCACCCCCAATCCTAGCAACAGAGGTACCTAGGGCTGGTGAAATGGTTTATTCCCCCCTCACCCCACTTTTTATGTGAGGTTTACTGGTCTCAGAAACAGCAACTGGTCCAGGGCTACTCTGAATTCTTAAAGCTCAAAAGGGACTTGAACCCAGCTCTCCCCGAACCCAGGTTTCTAGACTCCTGGCCTCTGCACTACCACCACCCCGCAAAATCAATGAGGGCTCACTGCAAAATTATGCATTAGCCTACTTGGGCATATTTTTAGGATCCATATTATTTCTGTGAGAGTAAGTTGTTTTAAATTGCTTTTAAATATTGCATTTAAATTGTTGTAACCCCCCCAGACCTTAATAATAATGATGATGATGATGATGATGATGATAGGTTTTACTCTCCAAGTCTTCTAAAGTAGGCTCTCCTAGTTTATTTAAAAAGTAATACAGTGGTGCCTCGCAAGACGAAATTAATTCGTTCCGCAAGTTTTTTCTTCTTGCGAGTTTTTCGTCTTGCGATGCACGGTTTCCCATAGGAATGCATTGAAAATCAATTAATGCGTTCCTAGGGAAACCGACTTCAGACCAGTTCCGGGGAGAGTCTTTCCCCGACCTCTTCTGAAGGCTGGGGGGGACAAGGGCTTTTCTTCCCACCCACCCCAGCATTTTAAAAACCCGGGACAGCGGAGGGCTTCTCCGCTGTCCGGGGCGATCTTAAAATGCTGGCGGGCGGCATTTAAAATTGCCCCGGGACAGCGGAGGACTTCTCCGCTGTCCGGGGCAATTTAAAGCCCCTGGGAAGGCAGGCAGGGGGACAAAGACTTTTGCCCCCGCCAGCCTTCAGAAGAGGTCCTGGACCTCTTCTGAAGGTTGGCGGGGGCGAAAGTCTTGTCCCCCCACCTGCCTTCAAAAGCTGTCCAGCCAAGGCTCGCGGACCTCTCCGCAAGCAGCGGCAGCACTGCCGCTGCTTGCGGAGAGTTGCCGGCATGCCGAAGCCTGCGCGCGCTGAGATCAGCGCGCCCAGGCTTCGCGGACCTCTCCGCGAGCAGCGGCAGCGCGGCCGCGGCGTGGGGGGAGGTGGCGGCATGGCGAAGCCTGCGCGCGGGGAGATCAGCGCGCCCAGGCGTCGCGGACCTCTCCGCGAGCAGCGGCAGCGCTGCCGCTGCTTGCGGAGAGTTGCCGGCATGCCGAAGCCTGCGCGCGCTGAGATCAGCGCGCCCAGGCTTCGCGGACCTCTCCGCGAGCAGCGGCAGCGCTGCCGCTGCTTGCGGAGAGTTGCCGGCATGCCGAAGCCTGCGCGCGCTGAGATCAGCGCGCCCAGGCTCGCGGACCTCTCCGCGAGCAGCGGCAGCGCTGCCGCTGCTTGCGGAGAGTTGCCGGCATGCCGAAGCCTGCGCGCGCTGAGATCAGCGCGCCCAGGCTTCGCGGACCTCTCCGCGAGCAGCGGCAGCGCTGCCGCTGCTTGCGGAGAGTTGCCGGCATGCCGAAGCCTGCGCGCGCTGAGATCAGCGCGCCCAGGCTCGCGGACCTCTCCGCGAGCAGCGGCAGCGCTGCCGCTGCTTGCGGAGAGTTGCCGGCATGCCGAAGCCTGCGCGCGCTGAGATCAGCGCGCCCAGGCTTCGCGGACCTCTCCTGCCTTCAAAAGCCGTCCGGGATAGCGGGAAGCGCTTCCCTGCTATCCCGGACTGCTTTTAAAATGCTGGCGGTGGGGGGCAAAGCCTTTCGGCCCCCCCCAGCCTTCCTGGACCGCTTATGAATGCCGGAGGGGGAAGGCTTTGCTCCCCACCGCTAGCATTTAAAAGAGGTCCCCGGAGATTTCCCTATGGGCTTTCGTCTTGCGAAGCAAGCCCATAGGGAAATTCGTTTTGCGAAGCGCCTCCAAAACGGAAAACCCTTTCGTCTAGCGGGTTTTCCGTCTTGCGAGGCGTTCGTCTTGTGGGGCACCACTGTAATAAGCAACCGGGAGCCACTTCATCTCTCATCGTAGCAGACCTCCGTGAACCTGCCACATGGAGCAAGCAGTTTGCATTCCCTCTCTCTCCTCTAATCACAAGGGCCATAAGAAACAATGTTGGAGGTTTTCGCCCAAGCCTGGCTCTCTTACCATCCAGCAACACTTTTACAAGTTTGTGTACGGGGCTTGCTGGGAAACAAAGTCCAAATGTGGAAAAGAAAGAAAGGCAGCAATGCCCACCAGCTTTTTTTTGGAGGGGGGTGTCCCCTCAAATATATTATTGGGAGGCCTGAAGGGACCTGGACCCCTAGGAGTTGGGACCTATTTGGCCACAACTATCAGTGACCAAAGGCCAAAAAATGCTTGCCAGCCCTGGTCTACTTTAGCTGGGAGAGGCTCTTAGCATCTTAAGCAGACAGAGGCCATTTCCAGATCTGGTCTCCAAGATTCTTTCTAGGGTTGCCATATGTTCAGGTTTCCAGGACATGTCCTCTTTTTTGAGGCCAACATGGCCACCCGGGCAGACTTTTACATTTTGCAGGCAATGTCTGGGGGTTTGTTTGTTTGTTTGCTGTGCCCTGGAAGTGGAGGTGCTGTGTTTTAGAGGTCGCTTTGGTTGGTTGTCCCAAAGATTCGGTAGGAGCTGGGGTATGGCGTTCTGCCTCCACCACCGCCAGCTCACCACCAGTGTCACTGCCCGGCCCGCATACCTTTTTTCTCGGCTCGGGAAGAGGTGAATGGGTCTGGCAGCAACACCTCTTTCCCCCCGCTCTGGCTGCTGCCACCCCGGCATGCGCCCACTCCAACCTCCAGTGCTGGCAAATGTGTCCCCTTTTTTAATCTTCAGAACATGGCAACCCTACTGGAACTGGAGACGGAGCCTTTTAAAATGAAAAGCCTGTGAGTTAGGGCATCGCATCTCATGGCCTGGGGTCCCTTCTAGTTCCTACAAGTCTTTGGCCTCTCACAGCAACCAGGTGTCTCTTCCAGAAGGGTCCAGCTTCCAAGCTTGAGAACTCCAAGGTTCATGCAAAACTGCAAGAGTGAGGGCCTCTAGAAACAGAAATGACTGTTGACAAATTCCTGTGCCTTTCCTTAGCTGATCACAGCTGCTGATCTCTGGATGAGGTCACGGTATAAAAGGCATTTGTTTCTTTCCCAATAGGGCTACAGTGGTTGTTGTTCTTGTTTTCATTGTTTTCATTGTTTCATTCATATATGAAATACACATACACACACACCACAAGGAAAAGTTGTGTTACATGTGCCCAAAATGCACATATCTGATGTTGCTTTGCTTACAAAAAGAACGATGGGAAGTTCAGCAGAACAAAATAAGATTATTCCACCCTAAAGTTTCAACAGCACTTTTTTTGTTTTTTAATATATTTTTATTAAAGATTTCTTAGTTTACAAAAATACATGCATTGTCAATTTTTTCAAGTTGCGTTTTCTACAGATTTGTCGTGAGACATTAGTGTTACATACAGTGCTAGGTTAGGAAGAAAAGGGGGAAAGAGGGGGAGGGGGAATGGTGAGTGGGGTGGGGTCCGGTGGCAATGCTTCTATTCTTCCACTAAGTGTATGCGTGGGGTTTTGTGTCAACGTCACTTGTGTGGGTTCTCTTGACTATTCACTTGCTGTATTTCTTTGGTGGTGAGAGAGTTTGGGGGTGGCCTAGGGTGTGGTTGTCTTTGATTGGCTGTAGTGAAATTCGTTTTTGTGAGTGGGGTGTGTGTGTGTTGTTGGCTCAGGTTAGCCAGATTGATTTGTATGCTGTTGGCGGGTTCTTGTTGTTGTCTTGTTGGGCTGTGTATGTGATAAGGGTAACCATACCGGGGTGAAGGCGTCTTCTTCTATTTGTCCCCATGTCAGTTTCAGTTTGTTGGTTAGTTTTTCTAATAAGGCTGTTTCCCATACTGGTTGATACCATTGGTTCATGTTTATTCCTGACAGGTCTCTCCAGTGTCTGGGTATGATGTTTCTGGCTGCTGAGAGTTGAGCTGGGCTCTTTATAATGTGAGTGGACATTATTATTTTTGAAGATGTTTAGTAATACTTGCTTAGTTATTGTGCATATTTCTTGTTTGATTGATGTCCATAAGAGTTGGATTTTAGTACATTCCCATCACATGTGGAGGTATGTACCTGTGGAGGTGCATCCTCTGCTAGGCGGTATAAGCCTTTGGCTTGCCAGGTTTTTATCTGGAGGTTTTGTGCTGTGCGATGGAATAATGGGTGGTGTGCCAGGGAAATTAGTGGGGAATGGGGACAGTTGTTTTTTTAATATTAATTTTATTAATTTTCATTGTAACAAACATCACATATAGATAAACAGTAATAAGAAAAAGTTTAAAAAAGAAAATAATAAAAACTTCATAAAACTGTTTATACATTCAATAAAATATCCAAAAGTGGGATTTCTCCAATCCCTTGACTTCCCTCCACCCCCTCCCATGGTTCCATTATTTCATTATTTATTATAACTGCTGAGTGGATATCTGTTTAACTTTTATATGTTATTATTATTATTTAATACTGTTCTAGTGATAGTTGAATGTTACTTTTTGATATGTTACCTATTTTAAAGTTATGATTTATTATCACATTTTTGTATTGCATTACATTGTTATAAGATGTACGTTTTATGTTTCTTCAGCTTGTAAACCGCCTTGAGTATTGTAAGATAGAAAGACGGTATACAAATTAAAAATGATGATGATGACGACGACGATGATTACTTTGTGCATGTCCAAGTTACATTGTCCATCTACCGTATTTTTTGCTCTATAAGACTCACTTTTCCCCTCCTAAAAAGTAAGGGAAAATGTGTGTGCGTCTTATGGAGCGAATCCAGGCTGCGCAGCTATCCCAGAAGCCAGAACAGCAAGAGGAATTGCTGCTTTCACTGCGCAGTGATCCCTCTTGCTGTTCTGGCTTCTGAGATTCAGAATAATTTTTTTCTTGTTTTCCTCCTCCAAAAACTAGGTGCGTCTTGTGGTCTGGTGCGTCTTATAGAGCGAAAAATACGGTACATTGTCCATCCAATTCTTTCTTTTATCATAATAATGCAAATGTTTCTTCGAATCCTGCTGACGTATCAACTTGTATACATTGCTTTGATATATATGCAATAAAAACTTCCCATTCATTTTTAATTTTTTATTATCCTGATTTCTGAGTTTCTCTGTTAATTTAGCCGTTTCCGCATATTCCATTAACTTAATTTGCCAACCTTTTTTGTGGGGATTCTTTCCTTTTTCCAGAATTGGGGTATCAATACTTGTGCAGATGTCGTCGCATTCATAAAGAGATTTTTAAATATTTTTTTAGTATCTCCTTTCCTATAATTCCTAATAAAACGGCTTCAGGTTTTTTAACAAAAGTTATTTTAAACATTTTTTTTCAATTCATTATATATCATTTCCCAAAAGTTTTCATAACTTTATATTGCCACCACTTACGATAAAATATACCTTCTACGTTACATTTCCAGCATTTTTTTTCTATTGATTTGTACATCTGTGCTAATTTAACAGGTGTTAAATACCACCTAGACATCATTTTCATATAATTTTCTTTTATCAATGTACAAGCCATAAATTTCAAATCATTTTTCCAAAAATTTTCGCATTCTGACATTTGGATGTTATGTCCCACATCCTTTGCCCACTTTATCATTACACATTTGACCTCTTTATCCTTAGGGGGCTGGGGACAGTTTACCTACTATTTCTTTCCAAGCTTTAAGCATGATCTGTGTGAACCTGTTTAGTGTTGTGGGGATTTTCCTTAGTTTGTTTGGGTATGTTGTGGTGTGGGTATTTTCAGTTGTGTCTCTCTCCAGGTGTACCCATCGTTTTGTCTCGTCTTCTAGGATATATGGGATTGTGTGGCGTACTCAGTTGGCAATGTAATAGGCTTCTATGTTGGGGATTCCCCATCCTCCTTCTGAGGGGAGGTGCAGGTATTTGGGGCTTATTCTTGTTTTTTTGTGTGAGAAGATAAATGAGTGTAATTTTTTTCCTGCCATTTGTGAAGGGGAAATCCAGATTGGGAGGGTTTGGAATAGGTAGGTTAATTTTATCATGACTATTTTGTCTGAGAGCATGAACTTGGTGTTGTTCCATCTCCTCAGGTCTTTGTTGATTTGTCGCCACAAGGGGTTGTAGTTGTAGAGGTATAATTTGTTGAGGTTTCTGGTTATTTGTACCCCTAGGTATCTGAACTTGGTGCGGCAAAGTTTTATCTTGGTGATGTTGGCAAATTCTTTTTGGGTATGGGGGGGGGTGTTGAAGAACATAGCCTCAGATTTTGCAAAATTTACCTGTAGGCCTGACACCATTGCAAACGTCTTGAGTTCTCTGATTAGGGAGGTTGCTCTGTTTATGGGGTCTGGTGTTGTGACCATTAGGTCATCTGCAAAGAGCCCTAATTTATAGGTTCTGCCTTTTATTTCTACTCCCTTGATGTCTGTGGCTGCTCAGATCCAGATTGCTAAGGGTTCCAGAGCCAGGATGAATAGGAAGGGAGACAGTGGGCATCCTTGTTTTGTGCCTCTGGATTGCTATGGTATTAGAGTCCATACTGTTAGTCATGCATTTTGCTGAGGCTCGGGAGTATATTTGTTTGAGGGTTTGTAAGAAG